TTGTCAAAATGAGGGATACCTTTAAATCCCATTTTGCCCCATGGCTATGCCAAGTTCAATTCTTTTTAAAATCAATTAAATCATTTCAGAAATCAAGGTTGCCCTTTTTTTTTTCTTGAATAAATAATTTTTCGACTATCCTCTTTTTCTCTCTAAGATAATGTTAACAGTAACAGATATGATTCATATTATTTTGAAACATTTTTACTACAAATGAATTTTTCATTGGAATGTGCATGCAATCCAGGAAACCACTTCCAACCCATTCCCAACAACAACCCTTTACACATACAAACACACGAGAACTCCATGGGCATGGTCCAGTGATTGCCACAAGGAAGGGAGGTGTTTAACCCTTTTATTAAGAGTCCTAGGGCAGAAAGGGTGAGCTGTGGCGACATCACCACCTATTGTCAACTTGTCTTAGACATCTTTAGTGGGCAGGCCTTTCACCACGATTTATTAGGTTAACTTCTAGACAAAAGAATTTTTCATAGAAATTTGGCAATCATTATATGGTGTCTTCCATTTTGCAACATATAGATTTTTATCTTCTGGAAAGGGGTTTAAAGACCTACTTTACAAGCATCATATATTGCTAATCCTGTTTGTTTCTTACAAGAAACAAAATTATAATTATATAAAATTGCATAATAGTTCTTCTAGAATCTAGAGCCAGGGGTGGGCAAACTTTTTGACTCGAGGGCCACAATGGGTTCTTAAACTGGACCGGAGGGCCGGAACAAAAGCATGGATGGAGTGTTTGTGTGAGCTAATATAAATTCAAAGTAAACATCATTACATAAAAGGGTACGGTCTTTTTTTTTTTTTTAGTTTTATTCATTTCAAACGGGCCGTAGTTTGCCCACGGCTGGTCTAGACTATTGGTCAAAGAATTAAATCTAATTGGCTTATAACATTGGTCCTACCTGATGTCTTTACGCACAAAACAAAGCTTATGCACAGTAATGGGGCATGGAGTGGATTTGTAATGGTTTGCATAATTATTATAAAAGAGAATTACTTTGTGGATAGATGGCAATGTGAAAAAAAGCTCCTAGTAGTATTTCAAAGGAATCTGTCCTATTAAAAAATTGCTTAACAATGAATGAAGACATGAAAAGCCTAAAGAACTGTAATAGGAAAAGCAAAATAAAGCTGGTGGGAATAAATAATATGCCAGATAGCAGAATCAAAATATTAAACTATCTCAATTGATTGCTAAAGTGGGTTGAAATAAATAACTGAGAATAGAAATGTAAATTCCCACATCAGAGCAGAAAACGGTCACTTTTTTCAAATCCAGATCATGAGAAAAACACCGTAAGAGCAGGTCTCATGAAAAAATTTGGGGTGTTTATATTGACCAGAATGTCAACATACCAGATTAAAGGACCAAAAGAAGCAGCCAACCAAATCAGGACCACAAGGCATAGTTCATGAATCCTGTCTCTAAATTTAACAATTATAGAGAAAATTTTATGCAGATTAAACATAAAAATATATCATGGCTAAAGTTACGTTATAAATAGCACAAAGAAATGAGGAAATATTCTAGCTCTCAGAAACTACAATCTCATTCAGCAAAAAAGTAAGTCTTTGCAAAAAGAGGGAAGTTCCCACATGTGTAATTATTTCACTTTCATCTTTCTTGCCCATATTAGTCAGCTCAGCTGCCATAACAAAATACCGTAGACTGAGTGTTTTAAACAGTGGACATTTATTTCTCAAAGTTATAGAGACTGAGAAGTCCAGATCAACATGCCAGCAAGCTAGGTTTTATCATGAATTCTCTTCTCTTGGTTTGTAGGCAGCCTTCATCTGGCCGTGTGCTCACATGGCCTCTGAGTGTGCCCACAGAAAAAGAAAGAGGCAGGAGGAAAGGGAGGGAGAGAGGAAGAGAAAGAGGGAGGGAGGGAGAGAGAAATCTTCTTGTAAAACCATCAAATTTATCTAGGGACCCACCCTTACAACCTCTTTTAACCTTAATTACTTCCATATGGACCTTATCTCCAGATATAGCCACATTGGGGGCTAGGGCCTTATCTTAGTCTGCCCAGGGCATTATAACAAAACTAGAGGCTCGTTGCATGAAATTCATGCATTCTGGGGAGTCCCTGAGCCCAGCCTGTGCCCTCTTGCAGTCTGGGAGACCTCAGGGGATGTCCGACTGATGGCTTAGGCCCCCCAAGTCAGACATTCTTAGTGCTGCCGTGGAGGCTGGAGAGGCTCCTGCCATCACTGCTGCACTTGCTAGCCATAAGCCTGGCTTCTGGCTAAGTGGTGCTTTCCCTGTGGGAGCTCACTGACCATCAGGGGGCAGCTCCTGCATCGAGCATCTGTCCCCTGGTGGTCAGTGCACATCATAGCGACCAGTCGTTCTGCTGTTCAGTTTATTTGCATATTAGCCTTTTATTATATAGGCCAGGATACCATAACAGGCATTTTTTTTCTCATGGTTCTAGAGATTAGAAGTCTGAGATCAGAGTGCCAGCATGATTGGGTTCAAATAAGAGCCTGACCTCCTCATTGTGTCTTCAAATAAGATCAAGGGGGGAAAGAGAGAAATGGAGGGAGAGAGAGAAAGAGAGAATTCTAGTTTCTTTATTTTCTTTGGGTGCATCACCTGAGAACCACATCTGCCAAGTCACCACAGCTCCGTAGCTCCTGTGTTGAGTTTCTGCCCCCTAGTGGTCAGTGTGTGTCATAACTACCAGTTGAAGCGTCTGCCCCCTGGTGGTCATTGCGCATCATAGCTACTGGTCAGACACTTAGGCTTTTATATCGAAATTCGTGCATGGGTAGGATCCCTAGGCCAGGCTGGCAATCAGGGCTGATCAGATTCTCCGCCTCCCAGCCTCCCCGCCCCCTCCTTCCCTCACTCCCTCAGCGCTCTGCTGCCACTGGTCACCTGCCATGTTTTGCACAGCCCCCTAGTGGTCAGTGCACGTCATAGCAAGCAATCAAACTCCCAGTAGAACTCCCGAGGGGACAATTTGCATATTAGCCTTTTATTGTATAGGATTAGTAGTAATAAGTTGTGCTACACATCCTTTCTATTAGCTTATGTGTGTACATGCATACATTTGTTTTCTTCAGAGACCCAGTTTGTTAAAAACATTTCCCAGCCCACCACTGGGCAGACAAGTAGAAATGAAAGACGGAGAAGAGCTGAAGGGACAGTATTTAAGCCCCTGGATCCAACTGTGTTTATAGCGGCTGGGTCGACCCTGTGTTTTCCAGTTAAACACATGGACCAGTAAAGTCCTTTCATTTGTGGTTGCCTAAAGCTAACTTGAATTGGTTTTCTGTCACTTTCCTCTAAGAGTCCTGACTCATACTACGTGTCATAGGCATGTTCAGGGAACTGAATTTTGGTTAAGCCCTGAGAAAGAAGTTCTGCAGATCCAAAGACACAGCCCTTCACTTTCAGGATCAAATCAGATTTTAAGTAGTGGAAGCAACGAGCTCTATTTGGAAGCTCTGTCTTTTTTTTTTTTTTAATTCTTTATTGTTTAAATGGAAGCTCCATCTTTTGCATTGTTAGCTTCCCCGCCTCTGCCCTCATGTGCCCTGTTAGTACCAGGATCTATTTCTGAGCCCAGTGCCCATTTTTCATCCAGTCCTGCAAGTAAGTCTCTTCTGGCTCTTGTATCTAATTCACTGCTCTGGTGTCAGTCCCTGTAGGACTGGCTCTGTCTTTTCCTTGGCAGATGCTCCGGGCCTGGCTGCTGGAGGACAGTGTCCTTGTGATGCTGGCCTACTGTGTGGCCTTGGGAAACCCTTCTCTTCCCAATTTCCCAGATCAGCGCTCCTGGCCCTTTCTGCTGTGAATTGCTGTTCTCAGAAGCCATCTCCAATCTGTAATGTGCCCTTGGGACCGTGTTCTGCCTGCCACACTACACCCATCCCAGAGCCTGCTGCTCACTGGAGCCCACCTCGCTGGCCCTGCTCAGCCGCCAGGACCTTCCTTGTAGAGCGGGCTGTCCCCAGGCCTCTGCTGCAGCCGATCAAGCCAGGCCCTGAGAAACCCCTTCTCAGAAAGGCAGTGCCGCCTGCCAACTTGTGGAGAAAAGAAAAACCACACCCTGCAGTTTGGATGACTGCTGTTCAATGTAGGCCTCGGTGTTCCCCTTGAATACCGAAGAAAAACACTGCTCTACCTGTGAGCATGAGGTGCTGAAGAGTCTGTAAATTTATCATTAAAAAAAAATTACTTCTAGGTGGTGGTAGGTTGACATGTACTTAGTGATTCTACAAAATAAGGCTGAAGATCGTCTCCACCTGCCCGTGTGTAACTTTTCCTTCACCTATTCCTGCACCTCCAGATGTTCTTTTGAAATGTCAAAGCCACTACAGCCAAGGGTGGGAGGGAAGCATTTTACTAAAAACTCAGACAACAACAAAAAGCTCAGTTCCCTAGTCCGCAAGACAAGAACCCTGTCCATCTCTCATCCTGGTTAGCGAATTCCTTTGCACAGTGGTACAGACACAGCCCAGCATCTTAACGGTGGGTCTCGTTCAATTGCATTTTACGTTTTGCTTGAGAGAAAAATTAATGTGAATGTTCACATTATGTTCAAGCAGTTATAATGTGTCAACATCAGAAAGCTGAGCTGATGAGTTCAAAAGACTGAAAATTGGGTAATTTAAGCTGTTCCACTTGAGAGGACATAAGAGATGAAGCAAAATGGGACTAGTGAACAACCTTAGCCTGTTTGGAATTTTTTCAGACACTACAGAAAGGAAAAAGGCTGTGAAAAACAGATGTTGGGTGACTGGCGTCCTCTTCCCCCCAGGCTTGGCATGGGAATGATTCCTGTCTGAGCAACACTGGCACTGCTGCTCTGAGGATGAGTGACAGTGTACTGAGTGCACGAAGTTTAATTTAACACCAAGCAAGAGGCACTGTGTTTGTTGTCGGGCCTCAAGGAAAGATTGGTGTTCAGATTGTTCTAAGTTAACCTATTCTCTCTCCACGTCTGATATCACTGCTGTAGGGGAAGAGAAGGAGCATGAAGGAATCGATGACCCTGATTGCCGAAGAACCAGCTCAGGTCCAGTTGTTACAACGTCAAGATGTATAGAAGGGAAGGAAACCCCAGACACTCTCATCCCTGCAACGCGGTGGAATGCTTGGATTTGGCACACAGGTCTGAAAGCCACGCGATCATAGCAAGCAAGAGGAGAACAGTCAGCTAACCTCTCAAAACAGAGAACAGTTCTAGAAAACATGGAAGATTGCTGGAATCTCTCGAAGCCATGTCCTCTATGTGAGAAAAGACCAAGAGACAGGGACATTATTCGTGGGAGGACAAGCCATCTTGCCACTTGTTTTCACTGTACCAGAAATTAAAGAAGGCTGGGGCTTCATGCCCTATTTGCAAGAAAGAGATTCAGTTGGTTATGAAGGCTTTAATGGTCTATCAGTGGTCGGCAAACTCATTAGGCAACAGAGCCAAATATCAACAGTACAACGATTGAAATTTCTTTTGAGAGCCAAATTTTTCAACTTAAACTATATTGGTAGGTACATTGTTATTAACTTAATTAGGGTACTCCTAAGGCTTAGGAAGAGCCACACTCAAGGGGCCAAAGAGCCGCATGTGGCTTGCGACCCGCAGTTTGCCAACCATGGGTCTAACTGAATCAGTGAATTAAGGAAATATTAGCAGGGTCAGATCATGTATCAAAACATCAGTATTGGGTATCTCTACCCAGTGCGAATCATTGTATCTGTTCTCTTATTCATATAAACATTTTTATTCCAGGATATTTTTGTTTCAAAACTCACATGGAAATTGAGAATGAATTCTTTAGAACTAGATGATTAATGTGGGGGCTCCATTAACACAAAGAGATACGTTAATCATTTTATTCTCCCTTCAAAGATGAGGATCTGGGAGGAAGCAACTACCAGTAAAAACAAAAATACAGTCATTCATTTATTTACCAAACTACTTGAAGATCAATCATTTCTTTAGTTAATTTTAGTCCTTACTCTTATTTTCTGTTGGGGATTTTTATATTGTTAATTAAATTGCAGTTGACATTCAATATTGTGTTGGTTTAGATGTGCAGCATAGCGGTTGGACATCAGTATGGCTTGTGGGGTGCGCCCCCCCCATTGGTCTAGTGCCCACCTGACACCAGGCAGGATGGGGAAGACAGAGAGAGAATGGATCTGAAGCAGCAAGTGGAGGATAACCCACACATAGATCTTTCTTCTGCACAGCCTTTTGCCATCCTTCTGCCCAACTCTTTATCACTCTGTAGAGTCATTCATTGACAGTGTGGGTGGACAGAGAGAATGGGTAAACTAAGTCTTTCTGGGTTTTGTTATGCTCCCCATTTTAATTGGGGCAAATTATTGTATTGAAGGAAAACCTCAGTCAAAACCAGGACAACGGAAGTTTCAAGAGGCAACCTGGACAGTCTGGATCCAAATTTGGTGCCTTGTTTCTAAAGCATAAATATGGTTTGGCGTTTAGTTTGTAATGGAGTTTGGTCTTTGTAGGCAAAAGGTAATTGAGGTCAACAAATTGTTCCTAATTCTTTCCACTTCGCTCGATTGCGTGGGGCCCCGCAATCTGCAGGACCCAGCGGGGAGATGTCCTCACAAGCAGGAGGGTTTGTTCATCAACCTGGAAGTGGCTTCAAGTTTTACTTCCTTTTAGAGAAGTTCAAAATGTCCGAGAACTCAGCTTGAAATGAACAAGCCCTGAGAGGTTTCACTTTCACATCAGAGTAACTATTTTATTCTGTTATCTAGGCAATTGATACAGAAACCGCACTTTGCTGCTCTGGAATAAGAGTTCCTACTTTTTTTAAGACTTGTAGCTCTACATGTTTTTTCCATGTTTTCTGAGGGGCCAGGTAAAAGGAGACTATATTGTTATCCTGACCTGGAAAGGCCTAACTAAAGGTTTGTTAAAGTTTATTATATCTCTAACACATTTTTAATAAGTTTATAAGATCCTGTTAAAAGTTAAAAGTGGTGCCCTGGCCAGTGTGGCCCAGTGGTTGAGTGTCAACCTAGGAACCAGGAGGTCATGGTTGGATTCCTGATCAGCGCACGTGCCTGAGTTGCATATTGATCCCCAGGGTGGAGCGTGCAGGAAGCGGACAGTCAATGATTCTCATCATTGCTGTTTCTAGATCTCTCTCTCTCTCCCCCCCTTTCTCTCTGAAATCCATAAAAATGTGTTTGTTTAAGTTGTGGTTAAAAAAAGTTCTATGTTCAAATATTGTTAGGAAATACTAACAATTTTTTTATTAAACAAAAATAAATGGGTTTTGTTACTATAGAAGTTCTCGTGCCCTTCATAGTCCAGTGTGAACAATGAATTTACACAAGGGGCTCATGGATTCCAATTTCCACACTTTCTTGACCACTGAACCCTTCTACCACACACATCTTGTAGACTAAAGTTTCATGGAATAACTTTTCAAAGCCCTGCCCTAACAGCAGATCACCAATCCCCTGTTTTTCTAGTGATAATCAGTCAGCCTGGCAAGAAGAGTGGTGAGACGTTAGGTTTTTAGGAATAACTATGGGCTGATGGGAGCTTCTCTAATTGTAGAGTTAGGAGGAATACATTTATTTTTTGTTTTACCACTTATGGGCTAAGTGATATTGAACAAATCAATATCTCTGATTCTCAATTTCCTCATCGGTAGGAGAGACTATTCTTACCTCTCTAGGTCATTGAGAAGTTTTTGAAAACAGCCTTGCAGTTGTTGCAAAGCATTAAATATATACCTACCACATGATGTAGCCATTCCCCTCCTAGGTATTTATTCAAAAGCAAGGGCGGCATATATCATACAGGAATTTTCATTGCAGCTTTATTTGTATTAACCAAAAAATGGAAACAATTTAAGTCCATTAACAGGCATTGGATAAATTCTGATGAATTCATAAATTGGAATACTACTCAGCATCGAAAAGGAGTAAACTATTCATACACACAACATAAATAAATCTCAAAAACTTATGCCCAGTGAAAAAAGTCAGACAAGAGCCATAGCCAGTTTGGCTCAGTGAGTAGAGTATCGGCCTGCGGACTGAAGGGTCCCAGGTTTGATTCCGGTCAAGGGCATGTACCTTGGTTGCAGGCACATCCCTAGTGGGAGGTGTGCAGGAGGCAGCTGATCGATGTTTCTCTCTCATCGATGTTTCTAACTCTCTATCTCTCTCCCTTCCTCTGTAAAAAATCAATTAAAAATATATATATTTTAAAAAGTCAGACAAGAAAAGCATACACACCACCTTGGATGGTGTGGCTCAGTTGGTTGGAGCATCATCCTGTGTACCAAAAGGTTGTGGGTTCAATCCCCAGTCAGGGAACATACTGAAGGCAATCGATATTCCTCTCTCTTTTTCTCTCTCTCTCTCTCTCTCTCTCTCTCTCTCTCCCAACCCCTCTCTCTAAAATCAATAAGCATATCCTCTGGTGAGGATTTTTTAAAAGCATATACACCATATGATTCCATTTATATAAAATTCAAGAAAATGTAAATTAATCTGTAGTGACAGAGAAAGGATTGTGGTTGCCTAGGGACCAAGGGGAAGAGAGTGGCAGGCTTGACAGGAGGGAGGATTTGTAGGAAGGGATGTGTAAACTCTTGGGGATGATAGCTGCATTCACCACATTGTGCTGCATATAAAATTTGAGGTTGACAGCTTTTGCTTTAGTACTTTAAACACGTCACTCCACTGCCTTCTTGATTGCCTTCCTCCACTGAGAAAATGGCTGTCGTCTTGGCCTTTCTCCTCAGTACGGAACATGCCTGTTTCTGTCCTCTCTGGCAGCTTTAACATTTTCCCCTTTATTACTGGTTTTGAGCAATTTCACTATGATGTGCCTTGGTGTCATTTTTTTTTCCTTTGGGATTAAGTTTCATGGAGCCTTTTCCTGTGCTTAAGATTTATGGTTTTTTTCAAATTTGGAAAAATTTTTAGCCATGATTTCTTCAAATATTTTATTTCCCAACCCTCTCTCCTCTCACCTTCAAGAACTTCACTTACACCTGTAACAGGCCACAGGGAATGATCCCACAGCTTGCTGGTCGTTTGTTTAAAAACGTCCCCTTTGTTTTATTTTGGGTAGTTTCTATTGCTATCACTTCAAGTTCAGTAATCTTTTCATCTGCACTATATCATCTGTGTTTAATATCATCCAGTGTATTTTCATTTTACCTCAGACATTGTAGTTTTTATGTGTAGCAGTCTGATTTGAGTCTTTTTAAGTATTATCTTCTCTGCCTCTACTTTACTCCTCCAACGTGAAGAATACAGTTATAAAACTGTTGTGATGTGCTCATCTGATAGTTCTGACATCTACATATGTCAGTGAGTCGGCTGTGATTGGTTGACTTTTCTCCTCATCATGAGTCATAGTCTCCTGCTTCTTTATATGCCTGCTTGATGGATCCAGACATCTTGAATTTTGCTTTGTTGAATATTGGATACTTTATATTGTCATAAATGTCCTTGAGCTATATTCTAAGACACAGTTGTTATTTGGAAACATTTTTATCTTTATTTTTGTTGAGTTTTTTTTTTTTTGCAATTTGTTAGGCAGGACAAGAGCAGTGTTTAGTCAGGGCAGGGGTTCTCAACCTTGGCTGCACATTAGAATCACCTGGGAATCTTTAAAATCCTGATTTCTGGGCCTCATCCTCCAGAAATTCTGTTTCTTTGTTACTAATGCTGTGGCCTCACCCCATAACAAAGAAACAGAATTTCCGGAGGATGAGACACAGAAATCAGGATTTTAAAAAGATTCCCAGGCGATTCTAATGTGCAGCCCAGGTTGAGAACCACTGGTCTAGGGGTAATTACTCTCTACTGCTGAGTCAATGCCCTTCCCAGTGCTCACTCCTCAACTCAGGGAATCTACCTACCAAGCTTCCCTTGGCTTCACCCTCCTTGCCCTGTGGCTGGGAATTCTCTCAAGGTCATCTCAAACAAAGCCTTTCTGTTTCCCATTTCTTAGGGGACACTGTTCTTTGTTGTCTGATGTACATCAACCTTTCACTTAATTGTTCTAGCAATCATTGATGTTCAGCTCCTAGAGCCATTACCTTATTAGGGGTAATAGAATAATGATATTTAAATCCTCTCATTTCTGCATTTGTTAGATGGAGTTATTTTACAAAGGTATTTCACACACTGTCTAGTTGTTACCTGACGGCCCAATTCATAAAGAAAAGGAAGAACAAACGCTCTCTTCCAGTGGTTTTCAGTTTTCAGAATAATTCGTCATTTCAGTAGCATCTTCTAAAGATACATAGTGAGTTTCTTTTAAAAATTATATTTAGGCTACCATTGTGAGGTTATGACATTTAATATATTTGATGTGTTTTTAATATATTTAATTTTTTTAATGTTCAAGTTGTTCCATCTTTGGCCAAAGGGTGCCCCTTCAAGTCGGTTTCTATGTCCTCTGATATTACTTTAGTAGCTTTTGATAGTTCTCTTGATTTCTGACAAAGCACAATCTCCTAGGTTCATCTTGTATATTTCCTGACCCAGACATGGAATGAATGGTTTGTCTAGGTGGCCCTCATTCTTTTTTTTTTTTTTTTTAAATATATTTTATTGATTTTTTACAGAGAGGAAGGGAGAGGGATAGAGAGTTAGAAACATCGATGAGAGAGAAGCATCGATCAGCTGCCTCCTGTACACCCCAACTGGGGATGTGCCCGCAACCAAGGTACATGCCCTTGACCGGCATCGAACCTGGGACCCTTCAGTCCGCAGGCCGACGCTCTATCCACTGAGCCAAACCGGCCAGGGAGGCCGTCATTCTCTTTTAGTGGGAAATGGTACTTAGAGAACACAGACTGGGTGTTCAGGCTGCTTGTTTTCCCTGGGTTGTCATTGCTTCTACTAGTGCTTTTAGTGGAGATCTTGGAGATGAGTGTTACTAGAAGGTCAAAAACAAATCATGAATTCATACTGATATTATAACTTAAATTTAAGATTATAGAATTTTACTTAACTTTTTGGTTTTTATTTGTATGTTTTTGCTTATGCTGAAAAAAGTTGGGGATTCTAATAACATTATTTGCTTTATCAAGTATACATTTAATATACATTATATTTATGTATATGTTTATGTGTATATGTACATCATATATACACATATGTGTGTAAGTAGTCTATTACAATAATAATCTATATATATAAAAGCCTACGTGACCGGCTGACCAGCCAACCGGTCAGTAGCTATGGCATGCACTGACCACCAGGGGGAAGACGCTCAACTCAGGAGCTGCAGAGTGACAGTAACTTTGCAGAGTGCCCTCTCGCACTCTGGGACCCCTTGGGGGATGTTGGACTGCTGGTTTCGGTCCAATCCCCACAGGCCAGGCTGAGGGACCCCACTGGTGCACGAATCCGTGCACCAGGCCTCCAGTAAGTAATAGGACTACTTAATGTAGATTAAGAATTATTTGCATTGTTTCTTCATTCAGGATATATTCCAGCAAACATTAACTGTGAAAATACTGTCATTTAAAGTTATTAGAAATAATTTTTCTTTGTATTGGTTTGGCAGCTATATAATATACATTTAAGAAATTTGTTTATTTCAGCTTTTTTTTAAAAAAATTACATTTACTTTTAAATTACGTGAAATATTAACCTAGTCCCAAAGCAGTAGTGTGCTAGTAAATATTTAACAAGCAGATCCCTAAAAATAAAAGCCCTAATTTTGCCAGTTTCTATGGTGTAAATATTACTACCATGATGGATTTCAAGCTACCAATGCTACATTACCGAATGTAGAATTTGGGGGCTGCATAGTAGCACTGCGTTGTATAGTATTTCTATCATATCGATATAACGATTTCAGTAATGCAGATAATAGTAAAATGTGACAAAATAATTAGGTATTGATGATTTTTAAGATTTATTATCTTAAAATATTTATTTAATACTAAGTTTGTATAATTTAATTTTTAATAATGACTTTAATAACTGGCTCACAACATTCTTGAAAACTTGACATTTGGCTCATATTAGCTGGTGTGACCCGGCTCCAGGACACATTCGGTTTCAAAGTCAGAACCGCAGCACAAAGCACTCAGCAGAGGATTGCCGTTATGCCTACTCTCTCCACCCACTCCTCTCCCTTGCTGTATGGATAACCATTTTTATTATTAGATTTTGTC